GGGGCGGGTTTGAACATTCTTTAAAAAACTAAAAGCGGTTGCGGGGCAGTTGCGGGTTAAAAATCATGTGAGGTGGGTTCTTCAATTTCCAGCAAATTTGTCCCCGAGTATATAGACGGATGAAGCATTTCTTCTTATACCTTTATTTAAAATGAGATTTTGGATGTTTAATATTTTAAGGATGTAGTTATTGTATTAACTGGAAAAACCTGAATTTTCTTTTCCTCTTATTTTTTTTTAATTCATGTTTTTTCCCTTTTTAGTTTTGAAATAAAGATGTTGCTGTAACTAAAAGAACAATAAGAAAAAACAATAGATGAGAAGATTTGGTAATTGACTTAAATTAGAAAAATTCAGTAAATAAAAGTTGCATCGAACTAGACTTTCAGACGAAGCAGAGAGCTTATAGAAGAAAATGAAATATTTTTGTTAAGTGGGGCGGGTTCACGCGGGGCGGGTTGAAAATAAAAATTTGCTATGCGGGGCGGGGCGGGTTGAAGTTTTGCGGGTTGAATCTAAACTCACACTGTAAACGCCCTGTCCCGGCCCACTGCCATCTCTATACGTAGGCAATCCCCATCGGATTCGATCATAGCCATAAATAAATTAAGTGAAAAATTATCTAAAAAAAAAGGAGAAAGAAACAAAAATTGAGTGAAAAAGAAAGAAAAAGTGAAAAGAAAAAAAGAGCGACATAAAATAAAAGAGTGACAAAAACAAAACAAAAAAAAGAGAAAAAGAGAGTGCAAAAATAGAAGAGCGACAAAAACAAAACAAAAATCAAGAGTGATTAGAGAGAAGAAAAGAGGTGCAGATTGAAAAAAAAGGGTTAATTAAGGCCGGGATGAAACATGCAACTCGTTCAAACACATAGTAGAAACGTTTAACTGTCTAGGTGCATTGCATCCCAATATGCGATTTCCTATATGTTAAACGTCTCAAAACTAACAAGGTTGTTGGGTGTGCAAATTAGCCAGGTTCTATTCAGGTAGTTGGTTTTGTTGGTAATCTGGCTTCCCATTCTTATTTCACAAGATCCAAAGGAAAGGTTCCTATGGCCTCTGAAAACCATATCCATATCATTGATCCAGAGGATAGCCCAGCGCCGACTATTCCACAACTAGAATCAGCGGCTATTGAAGAAATAGGATGTTGCGTCTCCGCATATTGAAAATGTGGGACGCTTGGTCTAATGGTAGGGAAACACCAAGTGCAATCTCTGGGTTCCCAGAATTGATCCCCATGTCAGGCGAGGTTACCAACGTCCCTGTGCCCAACCTGCTCATCCTATGCGGACAACTTCCAATGTTGTTCAATGATCCTGACATGCCTTCTGTGGTTCGCCCCCAATCGCCAGTTTCCTGGGCACCTCCAATATTGTTCTCTACAACACTAGTTTGCACCATAGCACAACCAACTTTACCACGGCCGTATGTTGAGCCCCCAATGTTCGCCTTTTAGGGTTCACAGCTTCAGTCAAAAAATAGCATATGTGACTCCATACGCTTTCACTCAATCTCAGCAATATGATCTCTCGGTGGAGCAAGAAAAGGTCGTTAAAAATCCTGAGCAAGAGGAAATGGGTCGGAAGATGAAGAGCCTGGAACAAAGCCTAAAAAATATGCAAAGTCTGAGTGGCCAAAAGAGTGTCTCATACTCTGACCTCTATATGTTTCCCCATGTCCACTTGCCAGCTGGCTTCAAGATGCCAAAATTTAAAAAGTACGACGCGCAAGGAGACCCGGTCGCTCACCTGAAACGATATTGTAACCAGTTGAGAGGCACTGGTAGAAAAGAGGAGTTGCTAATGACCTATTTTGGGGAAAGCCTCACCGGAATCACTTCTGAGTGGTATATGAATCAAAAAATTACCCATTGGCATGTGTAGGACGATATGGCTCGAGATTTTGTCCGTCAGTTCCAGTATAATGTGGACATCTCTCCCGACAGAAATACTTTGTCCAATTTGAAAAAGAAAACTACCGAAAGCTTCCTCGAATATGTTGTCAAATGGCATGAGCAAGCTTCCAGGGTAAAGCCTCCAATGGACGAAATTGAAATGGTCACGGTCTTTCTACAGGCCTAAGAGGCGGACTACTTCCAGAACATGATGTCTGTTATGGGTAAGCCGTTCGCTGAGGCTATCAAAATTGGGGAAGTGGTTGAAAACGGTTTAAAAACAGGTCGAATCTTGAGTCATGCTGCTATTAAGGCCACATCACAGGCTGCTCAAAATGGTTCGGAGGGTTTGATGA